GGCATAAAAATGTAAAAAAAAACGTATAGTATAGCATTGGCAAATAAAAATGTAAACAAAAAAAAAAACGTCCATAGTTATAGCAATGGCATCAAACAATTGTCAAAAAAAACGTCACTAGAATAGGCATGGCATAAAAATGTTAAAAAAAAAAAAAAAAAAACACAAAAAAAACACGTAATAGTATAGCATGGCATAAAATGTAACCATCTAGTATACGCAATGGCATAAGAATGCCAATAAAGAAAGCTCATTAGCTTAAGTGGTGTCATAAAATGCCAACAACAAAGTATAACGTAAGGCATAAACATTTTCATGGAACAACAAGTAATAGTCAGGCATAAAAGTGTCAAAAAAACCAATAGTATAGTATGGCTTAAAAATGTCCAAAAAAAGTCATAGTAATAGTATGTTCAAAAAAACGCAATGTATAGTTTAGGCATAAAAATTTCAAAAAACGACATAGTATATTCAAGCATAAAAATGTCATAGTATAGTAAGGCATAAAAAATGTCAAAAAAAAACGCTATAGGTATAGTTAGGCATAAAAAATTTCAAAAAACGACATAGTATAGTCAAGCATAAAACTGTTCATAGTATAGTAGGCGGGGCATAAAAATGTAAAAAAAAACGATATAGTATAGCATGTCATAAAAAATGTCAAAAAAGGTCAATATGTATAGTATGGCATTAAATAATGTATGTGAAAAACATTTCATATTTTAAATAACACACACAAACACACACAAACCAGTTTTATTCTTTTGATTTAATTAACAAACCACTTACAATCATATATATAACAGCATTTAACTAGAGTATGCAGTGATAAGACGTTAAACAACAATAAAAAAAAAACACATTAAATACAGACAGTTTTAAGAGACTTTCATGTAATTCCATAGCATGTTCAAAAAAAACGTCATAGTAATAGGCAATGGCATAAAATTAAAAAAAAAAAAAAAAAAACGTCATAGTAATAGCATGGCATTGAAAAATGTAAAAAAAAAAAAAAAAACGTCAATGGTATAGCATGGTAAAAAATGTCAAAAAAAACGTCATAGTATGCATGGCATAAAAATGTAAAAAAAAACGTCAATTAGTATAGCATGGCATAAATGTAAAATAAAAAAACGTCATAGTATAGTAATGGCAAATTAAAAATGTCAAAAAAACATAGTACAAGCATGGCATAAAAATGTCAAAAAAAAAAAAGTCATGGGTATAGCATGGCATAAAAATGTAAAAAAAAACGTCATAGTATAGCAATGGCAATAATGTCCAAAAAACGTCAATAGTATAGTATGGGCATAAATGTAAAAAAAAAAAAAAAAGAAAACGTCATAGTATAGCATGGCACAAAAAATGTCAGTATAGTATGGCATAAAAATGTCAAAAAAACATCATAGTATAGCATTGCATTAAAAATGTCAAAAAAAAAAAACGTCATAGTATAGTATGGCATAAAAAACGTCATAGTATAGCATGGCATAAAAATGTAAAAAAAAAACAAAAACGTCATAGTATAGCATGGCATAAAAATGTCAAAAAAAATGTTATAGCATAGCATGGCAAAAAAATTTCCAAAAAACGTCATAGTATAGCATGGCATAAAAATGTAAAAAAAAAACAAAAAAAAAGTCATAGTATAGTATGGCATAAAAATGTAAAGAAAAACGTCATAGTATAGCATGGCATAAAAATGTCAAAAAAAAAACCTCAGAGTAAAGCATGGCATAAAACATCAGAGGTAAAGCTGTGAATCTTCTTCAAACCTTTATTTAAGCTCATAGTCATCTGATGTGCATAGTGAAGAATGTGCTGAAATGAGTTTCCTCTGTAGGATGTTTGGTCTCAGTCTTAGAGATAGCGTTTGGAGTAGAGCCGCTGCTCTTCTCCATTGACAGGAGACAGTTGAGGTGATTCAGACATGGTCAGGATGCCTCCTGGGCGTCTAGCCTTGGAGCTCTTTCAGACACGTCAAGCTGGTAGGAGGACCTGGGAATTCCCCAGGAGGAGATGGAAAATGTCGCTGCCACCACAAAATGTTTGGATGGGTGACTCTGCAGTTGAAAAACAAAATGAAGAAATTAATATTATTCTAAAAGAAAACTCTCTCTCTCTCTCTTTAACTCCATTAATGCAGCTATAATCTATGAGCATCGTTTTCAGAGCAAAACCTACTGTCCACTACCTCAGCAGCAAACAGCTGACCGACAGTTAGAGACCAGCTCATTGCAGCTTTAATGATTCTGATAAAAAAAATCAAAACATCTCCCTTTTCAGAGCATATTCTATAAATCTCTTCCCTCACTTTTATGAGGATACTCTTTCAGATGAAGCCTTTTACAAAGGTGTGTGTGTCTGTTTCTGCAGGAAGCACTACAGAGAATACCTGGTCAGTCTGATAAACGATCACTCTCTGGACCCGGCTCTGCTCTACGACGCCCACGAGCTGACTCGGGCCTGTGAGAGATACGAGGTGGACGCACAGAGTAGAGAGAACGAGGATGACAACGCTTACCATGCTCGACTGCTCAAGGTGTTTTTTTTTTTTTTTTTAAACATTTTATAGTCAAAAATGGTAATACAAATACATATATAATATAGAAACTACGTGTATAAGCTATGAGAGTCCCGGCTATATCCACATCAGTCAGACAGAATGAGTATACAGCTCTCTTTGTCTTTCCATTAGTTTAATTTGAATTATTATGAACCACTTTAGCTGCAGACTTTTCAACAGGAGTGAGTGTGGACTAGACCAAGGGGGTGACCCACAACAGTAAGGTGATTGGTTTGATTTACCAAATTGGCAACAAGGATCCCGGCCCCTGAACTTCCCGCTCGCTGTCAGCGGGTCCGGTGTCGAACCACAAAGTCCAGGAGCTTTGTAACTTCTCTCCTGTCGCTTTTCTCTGTGCCTTCAAAAGAAAGCAGAAATGTTATATGTTGTATGCAACTGTCTGCAAAGAGAACGAGCTGAGAGACTGAACACAGTACATTATCAGTCTATAAAGCTTTACTGCATCGCAAGTCTATCCAGGTCACATCAACTGCATGTTCAAACAGAATCTGGAAAAGCTGGTTTTCAGTACTACGCTCCTCATAAACAGAATCAGTTATTAAGAGTTTAAAAAAAAAGAATTAAACATTATACCTGAGTCACTTTTAACTGCCTTTTTCTCTCCTGACAGAAACTGATGGAGGTTCCTCTTGGAGAGAAGGTTCCCCGCAACAAATAAAGATGCCTGAACAGCTCATCACCGGCCTCAAAAAAAAACTAAAACCAGCTGAATTCTCAATCAGTGACAACACGTGTGACTCAAGTACATATCCGTTGATGCCAAACCACAAGTGAATAATGAATTGGCGTGTTGGAGTTGTGAAGCAGCTGTGTCTGATTTGTGTCCTCCTATCTGTTTGTTTGTCTCTGCTGCCTTCAGCTGAAAATGATTCTTCTCTTTTCCCTGTCGATCATAAATCATGAAGAGAAATAGGATTTTGAAGAGGATTGTGTCTTTATCTCATGTTCTCTGTCTTCAGTTTTCAGTGATGAGTAATATAAACTTGGGAAAAAACCTTTAAAAAAGGAATGTATTTGTATTATTTTGGTGTATCTTATATGAATCTGATGATTTATCACTTGTACTTAATGTATGTTGAAATTTCTGCATGAGAACAATGTAGAGATATCAGGAAAGATTATATGAAAAAATAAAAGTTAAATACATTATTCACTGTCTCAAGGGTTGAAGTGTGAAGATTTTGTTTATAAGATGGATGGATGATTCAAACTCATTAAATAAATGATTATTTTGAAATGTGGATTTGTTGATGTTTTTGTCACATTAAATACATTAGAGAAAGTTTTTGTTGTCATATATTTCTTGGTGTACTTTTGAGATGTATTTGTACTTGAGTATTTCTATTTCCAGCAACTTTATAGTTACTACTTTTAAGTACAAGACAAGATATAATAACACCTGGTATGGGTCGTTTTTTAAATACTTCCAGCAATAAATCCCCTACAATCACATCTAGTTTTTATTTTATTGAGCTTTTTTTTTTTTTTTTACAGTCAGATTTAATTAATGTTAATGATTTAACAGAGATTTGATATTAATATAATTTTAAGACACAAAAGGCATTAAAAGTTTCTTAAATATTACAATCTGCTGCACCAAGGTTGTTGTCTTTTTTTAAATGACCTGGGCAAAAGAAAAATACTAAATATTAATCACAAGATCAGAATTTAACACTATAAACCTACTAACTATTTAAGCTATGGCATTAAGGACATTTATATTAACAGTCTTAAATCAGTGGTGGGATGTAATAAATACATTTACGCGGAGGTACTTGTACTTTGAGTACACTTCTACTTCACTACGATTCAAAGGGTAATATTGCACTTTGCCCCATTTTTTAGTTACTTTACAAATTCTGATTTTGTATACTAAGTACATGGAAAATCTTTTTATCAGATTAAAACTACTCAACAAGTATGTACAAGAAATTGATTAATCAATTGGGAAATCGATTAGCATCTTTTTTGATAATGCCTGATTAAGTAATTTTTCATGCAGGGTTTTGAGTTGATTGTGATTTCATTTTCTGAATTTACATTATTGCATCAGTAACCTAGTGATATATTATGACTATAAGTGGCCATTTTTCTACACTGAGTACTTTTATTTTAAATACTTCAGTACATTCTTTTGCTCAAACTTATACTTTTACTTAAGTCACAATATAAATGCATTTATTCAGTGTTTTATTCGAGCTTTTACTTCAGTAAACACCTGAATTCTTCCTCCACCACCGTCTAAAATAATGTCTCTTTTAATTCCTGAAAATCTGAATTGTGAATGAGGAACAACACATGTGTAACTGTCCAAATATTTAGTCTTTGGTGTGCGCCCGCTGTCGCCCCCTGGTGGCGGACTCACACGCCGTTTATGGTAAGTCACGTGATTTCGGGGAAAAGGAGCGTCTGCTGAAAAGCAGGGGAGCCCGGGCCGCAGAAGCAGAGAGCAGACAGTGTCAGTCCGCACACACCGCGGAGGAAACAAAACCGAGGTAAACGAAACTTATATCCACTTCCTTCATTATTAGAATCTATATTTGAATGACTTATATTTATCTGTAAAACAGGTGGGAGGAGACGGGGGGGCTTTTAATGTTATATTACGTCATTTATTGTTAATAATATAACCAGACTCCATTTAAAAAATAGTTAATTTAAGAAGCTGTTTTTATCTGTGGGAGTTCATCTCGTGTTAAACTGAAGCTGCACACACATGGCATAAATCGGTAATTTGCATTAAAACAAGTCGCTGTTCAAACATTTTCTTGTTATTATCTATTGTTTACATACTGATTATGTGTTATGATGAAATAACGTTATTAAAGTAGCACTTCGTGGGGACATGTTGAGACGTGCATGTGCATGTGCTGCTGCTGATGATGATGTTGTTACTGTTGTTTGTGACGGTCTGTGTCTCCGGGGCTTTTCTTCTGTTCAGAGTCTTTTGAGTCATGGCAGCCGGGAGAATGCGCTCCACTCGCAGACTGCGCTCCTGGATCGTCGAGCAGGTGTGTGTGTGTGTATTAATATGTGTGTGTGCGTGTGCGTGTGTATTAATATGTGTGTTTGTGTGCGTGTGTGTGTGCGTGCGTCTGTGTTAATGAGTGTGTGCCAGAAATATATAAAGGGAGGGGGAGCGGGGAGGAAAAGGAAAGGGAACGGGAGGGGGGAGAAGGGAAGGGAAAGAAAGGATAGAGGGCTCCACTGACATCAGACAAATTTAATATTGATGTTTACAGCTTCAGTTACACTGAACAGACAGCTTAGTTTGGCTGTGAACAACAGGCTGCCTCTCCACTCATCAATTAGCTGACCAATGGAAAACTTTTCTGATAATCTGTTTAAAAACAAACTTTTCTTTTCATATGTGAATATTTATGTTATGTGACTGTGAAACTGAATATTTTGGGGGTTTTTGGATTGTTGGTCAAAAACATAAAACATTACTGGTCATATTTCACTGTTTCCTGATTGATCAAGAACATCATCAGCAGATGAATCAATAATGAAAATAATCATTAGCACAGCACCTTGTCTTGTCATGATTCACATTTATTTTTAACCCTATTACCACATAGAGGTGTTAAACAAGTGTTCACAGGTGCGAATAGGTGAAAACACACGATGATAAAACTATAACAAAGTGAAAACTATAAATACTATGGGACATAAATTTAAATATTTAAGAATCATATTTAGTTTTATTGATAGAGAGTCGATAAAATGTCAAATAAAAAACCGGCCTGTGTTTCTCACAGCCAGAGGCAACGTCTTTAAATGTCTTGTTTTGTCTGACCAACAGTTAAAAACACAAAAATATTTATTATACAAAGATTTAAAACACAAGAAACATTTGAGAAACATTTTCTTTGCTTGTGAAAATGACTTGTTCTCTATTTCGGGCTGCAGCTTATGATTATTTTAATTATCAATGAATCTGCTGGTTATTTTCTTAATTAATCAATAATTGTTTTGTCAATGTCAGAAAATGGTGAAAAACACAAGAATATAAAAAACATTGCAGATTATTTTCACACCAGAGACCTGATGTTTAATTATATTATAATATATGAATCTTTATTGGTTTATCATGTAATAATATTTGAATTTTAGTGTCAAATCTAAATATAAATGTAGATTAAATCAGTTTTTTTTCCTAAAATTGTACAGAAGAGGAGGTCAACGGGTGTTTCAGCCCTGAGTAGTGTCTGCAGGTTGCACAACCTCCACTAATGAAAGGGTTTGTGTGTCCTGTGTGTCGCCTGAGAGCTGAAACTCGGGGCTTACAATAAAAAACAAAGCTGGATTATGTGGATCATGTTGGACAGACTGAGAGACGCAGCTCAGAGAGTAAATTAAACTCATGTGTTGTGTGTTGTTACATGTGGACTGTTGCAGGTCAGCAGTGGTAAATACCCCGGGCTGGTGTGGGACGACGAGGCCAAAACTATGTTCCGCATCCCGTGGAAACATGCGGGGAAACAGGACTTCCGCAAAGACGAGGACGCCGCCATCTTCAAGGTCACGATGCCCCTTTTTTTTTTTGTTGTTGTTGTTGTCTCAACACTAAACAATGTAATTCTCAAAACTCTGCAACATCTACACGACTTAAAAGAGTAACTCACCATCAGCCAATCGTCTGTGTCTCCTGCAGGCGTGGGCGGAGTTCAAAGGGAAGCTGACGGAAGGGGGTCAGGACAACCCGGCGTCCTGGAAGACCCGCCTCCGCTGCGCCCTCAACAAGAGCCCCGAGTTTAAGGAGGTGATGGAACGAGCCCAGCTGGACATCTCGGAGCCGTACAAGGTTTACCGCCTGGTCCCGTTCAGCGAGCAGGGTGAGATGATTTAAAGTCTTCTGACGTTCTCCCACACAGGGAGGGAGATTCAGCTTTCCTGCTTATTTCCTGGGGGAGTGGTTCAGAGAAATACTGAGTAACAGTTAGACTAGAAACTCAATCAATCAACTATTGGATATTTAATCGCAAACTATTTAGATCTATCCATTCATATTTCATTTATCAAGCAAAAATATGAAACACTCTCAGTGTCCAGCTTCCTACATGGGAGGAGTTGCTGCTTCTCTCTGTTTTATATCACTGTGAACTGAAGGTCTTCCAGCTTAAGGAGACGTCACCTTTGACCTTTGGATCTGAGGAATCGCGATGGGCATGTTTTACTTTCTGGGATTTCACCAAGAGAATAATCAGTAATAAAAAATAGTTATTGGTTACCAACCCTAAAGCACATGACATGTTAGCGTCTCTTAATATCGAAATAAAAACGAGGGGTCGATTCAGAACTTGTTTCCCAGACGACTCGGTCCTGATCCAGAACGGACCTGCGAGTAAAGACGAGATTCTCAGGTCAGAAAACAAAGTCAGAAAGATCCTGATGTGAGACGTTTTCACAGAGTCTCTGAGGAAACCGATACAGAATCAATGAAACATGTGACCTACAGTCAGATAGCAGCTGCACATGTGATCAGACTGTAAAAAAGAAGTTATTCTGACATTATAGTCTGTCGCGGTGACAGGTGCACGGACTTTAAACCTGAACCTCATTCAGAACGATACACACAAATACTAATGTTTGTATTCAGCACAGTCATAGAGGGAGGAGTGTCGCTAACACACAGAACACAGTGTTGACCCACAAACCCACAGTGTTTACACTTACGTTTCATAATGATTTCTCGTGGTCAACACAGTGGCTGTCAAGTGCTTTGGATAACGTCAGTGAAGCTTCAACTCACGATTATTTTCACGACCGATTCGACTGATTATTTCTTTCTTGCTCCCACGAACATTTTGTTTTTGATCAATCGCCTGAAACACAAAGATATTTAAGTGAACGACAGAATTAGACTTGTCTGACAGCCAGAATCCTGCAGCTCCACCTCCTACGACTAACAATCAGTATGGCAGCGAGTCACTGCTTGAAATATAAATTGGAAACCGGTATTACAGGTGGGATTTTATTTATTTATTTATTTTTTTAAATAAAATCATATTATTATAAATCATTAACTGATCACTTTGAACTATCGCTCAGTCCTGGAAGTTTTCATCTTCAGTTCAGATATCTTCTTCTTTTCTGACCCCGCACTCAAAAACCTGAAAACAATTTACAAAGAGATAAAACACAGAAAAGCAGCAAATCTTCACATTTGAGAAACAATTTTTTGGCATTTTTGGCTTGTGAAAATGACTTGTTATCCATGTAGGGCCGCAGTTTACGATTATTTTAATTATTTACGACTCTGCTGATTATTTTCTTAATTAATCAATGATTGTTTTGTCGATAAAATGTCAGAAAATAGTGAAAAACACCAGAATTAAAAAAGAAAAAGCATGAAATCCTTCACATTTAAGATCCTGTAGGTGAAGATCCACTAACAGATTAATCAGCTGATTATTTTCACACCAGAGATTTCTGATATTTAATGATAGATAATGTTGTATTTACATCTTCACAGGTTTATCAATAAATAATATTTTAATTTTAGTGTCAAATATCCATATAAATGTAGATTCAATGTGTTTTTTTTGTTTATTTTCTTAAAGCATAAATCTGCAACAGTATCCTTCCGCATAGAGAAATAGTCCAGATTGATTTCACAGGCAGTGATTCCACCTCTTCACATTTCACACACAAGACTGTAGAAACCTTCTCCACCTCGAGTTTTCTTCATCTTCTTCCTTTTTCACACTGAGTCACGTTCACACTTGTTTTTTTTTTTAAACTCTCTCTCAGTTTACCTTCTATGTTTTTCTTGGGTGTGTGCGGTTCCTGACTACATTTATTGTTTTGTGGCTTTGACTCTGAACCGTGTGACCTGAATCAGTCGACTGTTATAAACTGTTATAAAGCTTTGCTGCCCTCTTGATTTCCCCCTCCTGAACACCTAAGACTCATCAGAACAGGATTTATCCACATTTCTTTATGTACAAGGATTTTGATTACTGCGCTAAATCTGTTACTTTTCTTTTATTTAATTCTCCCTGAAATCAGCTTCATTTTCTTTCAACTCTTTCAACTTTTAAATTCAGTTTGAATGCACACGCACAATTTACACAAGTCTCTTTGCATCTCTCGTGTATTAAAGTTCTTACACAAATAACCCAGCTGTGCCTCGCGGTGACCCAGTGAGAAAAGGTCAAAGTACAACTCTGACACGAGCTGACTGGTATCATTTTACTGCACTTTATTACTTTATTAATTATCCTGGCTTGTTTTAAACAAGTAAAAATAATGTCCCACACAGATGTTTTCAGTGTAAGTCGAGATATTCTGACAGTGTTGCTGGATGGAGTCACATCATCATAACAACCGTGGCCTGCTCTGCCGTCCTTTAAGATGCATGGTTCCTAAAATGAATCAGCTCTGTAACAGACGGAGCGACTGCTGCACCCTCAGCTGTTCTGCTCCGTCAGCGGAGCAGTGAGTTAACGCTGAGGTCAGCCAATGTCAACAGTAACTGTAACAGCGACTGGGAAATTCGCTGGGAGGGACAGAAGCAGATGTGTCTCGTTCAGTATTGGTTATTTGCCGTTCGATTGATCGGATTCTTTTTGTTAAACTCTTGTGTTTTCACAGGTTTAGTCGCTCCTGAGAAGAAATGCAGAGAAAAAACTACGAGGAGGTCGAAAAGGAGGAGCAGCGAGTTGGACAGCGACGACGTCAGTAACGTCAAGCAGATAAAGACGGAGGAGGAGTTGGCGGTGTCTCAGCTGGTGAGTTGGCCCCCCACTGCAGCGGGGGGGGGGGGGGGGGGGGGGCAGATTTCAAAACAATGGAACAAGTACAAGTTGAAGTTCAAGTTGGTCAAAGTTGAGTCTGATTTCTCCACACAGAGGATTTCTCCTGTTAGCATGTTAGCTTTAGATAATGATAATGATGTTACAGCAGAGTCATTAATCAGGCAGCCTGGTGTCTCAACCTCTCTGACCCGCAGTGTGTTGAAGACGCTCTGCTGCAGAGCGACATCATCATCCAGGCGGAGGAGCCCGTGCAGTACACCTCCACCGTTCAGAGAGACGGTGAGTTTAACCGTGTTAATCTGCAGCTTTCACATGTGGCAGACGCAGTAACTCAGTCACTGGTGGGTCTGATTAAATACAGGCACGGTGCCGACGTTTGGATCTGAGGGGAAACCTGATTCCTCATCGGTTTATTACATGTACACCTGCGCTGCATCATCACACGTAATGATGCACAGAGTAGTTTTTATATTTAATTAGGTTTCTATTATTTTGTAAAAACCACATCTGTGCCGTGAAGGAGCCGAGCTCTCACCACAGAGCCAGTTATCTCACCGCTGCTCTTCCTAAATAAAGTCGAGGACACAGGTGAGGAATCTAATCACTCACCTGCTGCACGTACGTAACCAGGTTACCGCAACTTCCTGCAAAACCCGAAAAACTAATCTGTTTACACATCTGCCGGCGGAACAGAGCGCCCACTCCGGCAGCTGAGCTCTAATTCAATCTGTGACATGATCTCATCGTCCGCTCATCACTTTGTATTTAGGATGTCCGTCTGTCTCCACAGTGGTCGACGAGATCCAGCTGGACGTCCGGATCGAGGAGACCGTCGCTGATTCTCAAGGAGGTAATAAACTGAACAAGTTGTTAAGTACAGCTGTATGTTTTTAAAAACAAAAATCTGGGGGCTCAGTAGCTCAGTTGAATGAGCATCTGCCCCGTGTGCAGAGGCCACAGTCCTCGCTGCAGTCGGCCCCGGTTCAAGTCCCGCATCGGACAAGCCCTTAGCTGCATGTCATTCCCCCTCTCTCTGCCTCCCCGTTTCCTGTCTCTCTCTACTGCACTGTCAATAAAGGCACAAAAAGCCCGAAAAATATACTTAAAAAAAAAAAAAAAAAATCTGTATTAACTCCCTTGAAATGCTGGACACTGTTCAGGCTCTCTATTATAAAATTTAATCTGTTTTCCTTTGTGATTTTGCAGAAGTGTGTGACTTTGAGTGGATATCTTTTATTTTGAAAGGGTAAAGCATTGTCTCATGCTTCCTGTGTGTGTGTTTCTGTCTCCAGACCAGGACTCCTTCAACGTGGAGATTCACTATTTAGGACAGGAGGTTCTCAAACGTCAAATCCAGGGCACCGACGTGCGGATAACGTACCTGCCGTCCTCCCTCGTCCCCCCGACGCCGGCCGCCCTCAAAGTCAGGTTCCCTCGCATCCCTCTGCCGGAGCCGCCCTCCACGCTGCCGGCCGGCCAGGAGCTGCAGGCGCTGTTCACCCTGCTGCCCTTCATGGAGAAAGGCGTGTTGCTGACCTCGGGGAGGCAGGGGGTGTACGGGAAGCGGTTCTGCCAGGGGCGGGTCTTCTGGACGGGGCCGCACACGACCACGCCGGGGCTGCACAAGATGGAGAGAAACAACGAGCCGGTGCTGCTCTTCAGTAAAGACGTGTTCAAGCAACGTGAGTGAAGACTGTGAACTCCTCACACGCTTCATCTGATTGGATGAGTCTCTTTTTAGTTTTACAGATTATTCCTGAACGATTGATTGAAAGATTTTCTCGTCGTCATTATTGTGAACTGAATATTTTGAGATTTTACCTGTTAGTCATGTGAAGACGCCTCCTCGGACTCACTGGGTGTTTTCTGTCTCTATATGGAAGAAACAGGAGAAATGAATAATTAATAATGATAAATAATCTTCACTTTAATCCCAGTTTCAACCCTGAATATCTCGTTCAACCTTAAAGCAGTGGATTAGTTGTTTAGCCCGTAAACTACATCCAGTCAGATCTCAGCGAAGTTTCAACAGCGAATCGTCGTGTGTATTTATTTATTTATTTATTTAACCGACCTTTTTTCCAGAGCTGGATCACTTCCGGTCAAACGGCGGCGAGCCTCCTCAGTGCGGCGTCACTCTGTGTTTCGGAGAAGAGCTGAATAACACCGAGGACCCGTCCGGAAAACTCATTATTGTCAAGGTGAAGAAACTTTACATCCTCAACTGAATCCGTCACATGCATCTCAACAGTGAACTGTGTTTCTCTCCTCCATCCTCCTGGTCTTAATTATTTAAAATGATCTAAAAATCAGTCAGTTAATATCTGACCTCAAAACTATTTAGTGCTTTTAATGAAATATATTTTTATTACAGTATCTGAGGTTTGATCTCAAATCTTACTTTTAAATGTCTAATCTGTGTGTTCATTTTTCAGTCACTTCTTGTTTATTTAATTTTGATAATTGATTAATTATTTGTCACTCATATGATGGTAAATTTAATCTTAAACTTTGGGGTGAAATTTATTTGGTAATGAGATAAACGACTAACTGCTAATTTCACATGAAACCGCTCTTGTGGGTTGTGGCAGCTGGCAGAGTGATATCACAGGTCAGACGTGTGCGTTTGTTTATCAGTCGCTGACATGAACAAACGACATGGTTGAGGTATTACTCATCCATTTAAGCCTATAAACCGCTACAGCTGTAATCCCTAACAGCATCAGCAGGAATATCTGTGGCTTTTGATTAATGCATTTAAACTGTTAATACAGAACTTGTAAATCCAGCTGATTTCCTGTAAACTCTCTTCAACATGTCCTAAAGTTGACCTGATATTAAGCTGTGCATCAGTGGGACATCAGACTAAAATGAAGGACATAGTAATGATACCTCCATCCTCTGCAGATCACTTTCCCGTGGGCGGAGCAGCAGATCCAGAACGCTCAGTCCATCTTCGAGTCCATCACCATCCTCCAGTCTCTGGCCAGTCAGTCTCCTCTGGGAGAAATAACTCTGAACCTGGTCACCGTTCCTTCGCCAACATCCGACACCATCACCTGCGGGACCTTCTGAGCACTTTACCCAACATGGGGGGGTGGGGGGGTTTCATTCCAAAAAATATGACACCCCTCCCCCCACTGTTTAAACCCAGTCTCACAAAATGAGACCAAGAGGGCTGAGCGATGTGTCGACATGTTTAACATTCACCACTGAATGATCGCCGATGTCAAAATAAGAGTCTGTGTGCATCTTATTACACACCACTCATCCCTGAACGGAGCCCAAAATAAAAGCATAGCACTTAAGACACGTAACTTTTAGGTTAGGTATTCCAGAGCTTTAACACTTTATGACCAGAGATCACATTGTGAACGCACTGTCCCCTGGAAGTGGATTTTCACGGCCGGACTTTGGCCCCTGACGTCCCTGAAGAGATTCGTTGGTGTACTGGAAGCACTACACGTAAACCAACACTCGTCTGTACTCTTTGAGAAGAACTGAGTTAACGTCACGTTTTTAAATTTCCTCTAAGCCAGAGGTTCAGGATCCCCTCAACGTTAAATCAACAGGATAGAAAAACAACAACAAAAAAAAAACATGTTTTCATTGTAAATTACTGGATAACTGAAGGTGCTTTTATGTATTCAAAGGACAGAAAAACAAAATAGCGTCACAAGCTAAAGAGGCAGTGAACCACGGCTTGAATCAGCTCTTAACTGTTTATACTACAGCACTATAGAAACCTTTAGATATAAAATATTCATTTTACTGTAAAATAAAAAGGGAAATAGTTTAAGTGAAGTTGTAGCTGCAATTAAAAAAAAAGTTCAGTAGAGCAGTAGTCAGAAATATCATGTATCCTCACCATAGTTGTATTTTGTTTTTGTTTTCATTTTCATCATCATCATCATCATCATCTACTGAAATTGAAACTCAAACTCGTTTTTCATGGAAGGTTTTTGTTCGTGAACACAAGACATGGATGTACGTACAGATGTGGGTTGGTTGTCGGTGTTTTAATAGATAAAGTTTCACATTGTTGAGACGGACAGAACGCCGCGGCCTCCCTCTGAGGCGCTGCGGCTCAGTCAGGACACGTTAAAGGAAAAATCCATCTGTGTTAGAAATCGCTCGTTTCAGTGCATTTTTTTTTTTTTTTTATTACAGGAGAAGCTAATGTTGCATTTACTGAACCTACTGAAAAACTTGATTAGTGTTTTGAGAGTTACTAGTTGTTAGTTGTAGATTACAAGAGGTGGACAAAAGAACAGAAGCATCTTATAATTAAATACAGCAGCTCTGCAGTAAATACTGTGCTGAAGCTCAGAGTGTTTGTCTGTGATGAAGCTTTTATACTCCTTTTTATAATGTGGCAGTTTGGCAAAAATGTGAAGCAAATATCCTGTTAAATGTCTGTGTTCCTCTTAACACAGCTAGCTGTTTTTGGCAAGAGCTGGCGGATTTATAAAAACATTTCCTCTTGGAAAGTCACAAGATTAGTTTAGGCAAGAACTCGTGAACTGAAAATACAAAAGGCAGCTTCACAAGTGAGTCATGTTAAGTCAAATAAGCATGTGCGTGTGTGGCCTCTATAAAAAAAAAAAAAAAAAATTTGAGGTATGAAGGCGACGTACAGAGAAACCAGCTGACACCTGCTGCTGCATCAGTTACAAATTTAAGTGTAAAATAGTGACTAAACAGGATTTACTGTTGCCTTTAAGTTCAGTTCAGAAGATGAGGCACCAAATGATGATAAACACTCAGTTGGCAGTTTATAAGGAACATCTGGCTAAAACTAATGCTACTCAACAAACATCTGAGCTTCGACACACCAGTATTCACTGCAGGGCTTCTGTATTTTAAAAAGGTGTTTCTGTTACTTTGTCCACCCGCCGTTACTTGTAATACATGTAGGAATAACAATAGTTAAGCATCAAATGACAACACAGGACCAGTTGTAAATACCACAGGTGATTAGTAACAGTGTTACAGGTGTTTGTTTTTTTTAAGGTGGATTTTTCCTTTAAAATCAGCAGTAAATATTCTGTTATTTATGCATGTTCTATGTTATGTCCTTATGTCCCTGTTCAGTCAAGAAAATGCATTAAAAATAAACGTCTTCCTAAACTCTGTGTGGAACATGTGGCTGTGTCGGGTTATAAAAAAAAGAAAAAAGAAATCACATTTGTACATGACGATGACGTTGGGTCAGAACATAAATAAATCTGGGCTCTAGTACAAACTGGTCTCACTACGTCTCCGTCTTAGATGTTCCCATTGGCCGGCGAGGCGAGCTCTGCTATCTTGGTGTTAAGTTTCTGATTGGTCCAGTCCTTTGTAATGTCGTCCAAGTGGCTGTCAAAATCCACCAATAGCGTGTGATCGCCCGACTCCAGCATCTGACTGGCTATCGCCCGGGTCTCCTCCCACTGTCTCAGCATTATCCTGGACAAGACGGACCACAGGGATGAATCAGTGTTAATGTCGCAGTAGTGTCTGTGATCAGGGGAATTTAAATCACTTGGACTTATGGACTGATGTCTCTCCATGATCTCTATCATGACAAAAGAACATCTAGTACTTTATCATCAAGCATGCTAACGGAAGTTTTGCCTCATTAATACGCAAATTTATGGAACAACGCACATCAAAATTTTATCAGATTATCTACTTCATATGGAGTACCTGTGGTGTGAGGATGAAGTTTCTATTATGTAAAGAGTCAGAGCAACAAGACGCCAGCATGACGACATTAAGCCCAGCGTAGCACATATGAATTTAAAGTTATAATATACATGCACCACAAAAGATTTCAAGGGCAGTTTTGGTAAGAACAGAAGAAGCAAAAATATTTCAAATGTTTAAAATCAAAGCTACAGGGAAGTAACTGCAGTTAGTTAGTCCCCCCCACACCACCACCACCACCACCAGCTGTGTCTTACGTGTGTTTGTCTTTGAGCATCCATCTTGAATCTTTGCGCTCGTACATCACGATGGGAGGGACCCGATAGTCTGGCGACATCTTACTACCATCAAGCTGTGAATAAAATTTGAATAAAATAGAATTAAAATTTTATTTATTTATTTTTTTAAAACATTTAAACCCACAAAATGTTGTATGATCCTAAAGTGACGCCTTAAACCTGCATAACAGTAGCCAAATACCCAAAGTATTCATTCTCTAATGACAAACAAGAGCATTTTGTCAACAGCAATGTTTGATAAATCTCAGTTCCTAAAATTATTATTTTGGCATCAACAGATTTCCTATTAATCCGCTTCTTGTTCCAGGTTTAATATCTCTCATTTCTCATATGAACCAAAGCAGCAGGGAGGGTCATGGTGTTAAAATCAAATCTCTTTTATGTTAGTTAATACTTACCATTAACAAAACTGCATTGTCAAACTGCTCAGCAATCTTATCAGCTATCTTCAGTGCACATGGTGTCGGGCTGTTGGGTTGAATAAATGGTGGCGACATTTTAAAAAAAGAAATGGTATTGACATTTTACTGAAATCAAGACTGTATGATGTGTCAACCTTTAAAATTCATGAAATTGAACTGAGAAGTGCTTTGGAGAGAAATCAGGGGCTGGAACACTCACCTACTATCTGATACGCAGGCGTTGGCTTGATAGTATCCCACTATCCTCTGCTGAGTCTGTGAACACCACACATCCACCTGAAACACACAGGACAGACTGTCACTTTAAAAACAGCATTTAAATCACATACATATTGGAATCCCTTCAAGTAAGAGCAGAGAGAAGAACCAAAACTTTTTTTTCCTGTTTACTGCACTTTGTATGAAGTTAGCTGATAAATATAAAGTATCCATGACATTATTTTTGAAAGCATCCTCACTTTATCTTTATTGTTGTTTGTCACAACTTGGAAAATGGATTAAACATCTAATTTAAACAGTCTTTTAGGATTCAGGAAATACCTCCCAAAAATCTGTATGTGTTGGAAAACAACCTCACAACAGATGTTTAGCTCTGTGACGAAGCAAACACTGGGCTCACACAACGTAGCAGCCAGTTACACCTCCAAATTTCCACTTTGAGTTTGATTGAACAAACTGTGAGGATACCAAGCGCGTCTGCAGACGGCCTACCTGTGTGAGGGCCAGCTGAGTGATGGGAGCCAGGGAGAGGTGCGAGTGCAGCAACGGCACACAGTCCGTCACACACACAGCGCCACCTGCCGAGCTGGACGACAGAAGCAGCCCGTTGATGCTGCACCGTGGAAACAAACAGGCGTGCAGGTACATCTTCACATAGGCACGACAGGACAGCTCCACCTCACCCATGATGACCACTGAGGGCACACAGACACACAAGCACTGCTAAACTGAGCTCAAAAAGACCCGAACAACGGCTGAATGCACTTAAGCAACACACGTGAAGGACAACGATGGTTGTCGTGAAATAAAACTGCACTAAATCTACCAACAACCGACGTTGTGTTTTTTGGCTAATTGTAGCTCAATCACCTGCCAGCCGGCTGTTGCTGCTGCAGTGTGCATTAGCATTAGCATTAGCTTACGACTTACGCGAGCAGAGCTGAATTCCGTCTTACCTGAAGAAGAATATAATTATACACCGAAAATGGAGCCTTGAGAAGCAAATGTCGATTAAAGAGTTTCAAGTCTAACGCTTCATTTAAGCTTTAATGAAGCCAATAAGGGCTGACTGTTTCACTTAGCAGCTAGTGTGAAGCGTCTGTAAGGCTACTTCCGGTTCCGCCCATAGGAGTAAATAGTATTTATGTGATTGGCTGACACGTCAACGTTTTGTCATCCGATTGGCGCAATAAGTAGCCAATCATTTCATTCCTTCTTCAGCCCCTGTGTAATGCTTGTGCTCTATAGAAGCGCTCCCTCTAGTGGTGAGGATGTCCAAAAGGGATAGAAACGTTTATATTCATAATTAAGGAACAAAAAGGGGTTTATATTGAAACATTGATACAAGTTGGTTTTACTTCCATAAATATGGGATTAAAATAGGTTTTATGTTCATAAATTAGGTGTAAAAATCCAATTATATTCATAAATGAAGACAAGTTTCCAACTTAAGACTTCTCAATTGATGTGAAATTAAACAAAAAAGGTAGTTAAATTTTTGATATTCTAAACTTAATTTTAAATTAGAGCACATAGTGTTCCTCAAACACAATTAGTGTCCAGCAGATGTTGCCATTTTACCAAGTTCTACCTCTGTCCTAAAAAAGTAAAACAAAAGCTCATATCCTGTTGTGAGCAGTTATGTCTAACAATTTAGAGCACTGAGATTACAAAGTACACAAAACTTAAATGTGGGAAATGTTTGACTGTTTAGTGGTACAGTTGTAGCTCTTCCTTTAGTCCACAGTCATGCTAGCTCATAAAGAGCCCATTTTGGCATTAAGCTTTTTTCCTAGTCACTACCTGTATGCATTTTTGAATCAGCCATTAACCACCACAGAGGCAGCAGGATGTGCAGCAGTAGAGTTCTGCACAGACCCAAGACCCACATTTTGCTTATTTATCCACTGCCCTTTAGCCAGCTAAAGCAACACACTAGCTGAACATATGATAGGAAATGTCAACTTCTCAGTATGTAACACTTGCAGCAGGATAAGAGTGCCCATTGGAAAACATTAAGAGTTCCTGAAGACCACTGCATCCTTGAGCAATACAATTACACCCTCAAACAGGTATGAAACCTGCATTAATTGCTAACCTGATGCATCTCAGTCCCTCTGTCAGACAAGTTGACAAATGGCAGGTGCATTTTAAAACCATTTGAGTCAAACCTGAAACTCCTTTCAGCTACAAGTGCAAGTTTTCTAAAAAATAAAAACATTGTCAAGCAATGTAGACGACATGACAAGGTTACTTTATTTCAGTTTGACAAGTCAAAAATACAGTAGTTCAGATGAAAGCAGCATGAAACATCTTCAGTGTTGTGGTGCCTAAAAACAGGAAAAAAAAAAAAAAAAAAAAGTTGATTAAAAGGAAATTTCAAAACTTGAATCATTCAGTTGCTGATAAAGTACATACCCTGCCCAATGATCCTCTAGATTGATTGAAGTCCACAGCCAAACCAGGTGTTACTTTAAAATGCAGTAGTGCTGTAACTGGGGGAAGGAGGGGAGAAAAAAAAAAAAAAAAAATTACAATAAATTTCTCAGCTCTCTTGGGGGGGGGGGGGGTGCCAGTGATCACAGCTTACCATTTGAAAACATTCAGGCACCAATTTCGTGGACAGAAGTAGGATAAACATTGATGTTGCTGTTCAGAAACTTCAAACTGCTGAGATGAGGAACTGATCTGAAGCTGCTTGGGCACCTACAGCCGCTGTTTTTGAAAGAGACGTTTAAGAACTTGTGTCTGATTGGGCAGGGAGCGTTGTATGTTGGGCATCTCACGCATGTAGCTAGGCTGCTGAGGCAGGTGGAAAGCCAGTTGGGGCTGCTTTGGCTGTTGGGGCCTGTAGCCAGGCTGCTGGGGCACCTGGGACCGCTTGGGAGGGTAACTGGAAGCCTGGGAGTGCTGGGGCCACATGGGTGGATAGCTGGGCTGCTGAGGCTGGAAGCCGGGCTGCTGGAAGCCGGGCTGCTGAGGCTGGAAGCCGGGCTGCTGGAAGCCGGGCTGCTGGAAGCCAGGCTGCTGGAAGCCAGGCTGCTGGAAGCCAGGCTGCTGGAAGCCAGGCTGCTGGAAGCCAGGCTGCTGAGGTACCTGTGGTTGTGGGGGTACCTGCAGATGCTTAGACTGCTGGGATACTGATAGCCACTGGGGTTGCTTGGGTGGGTAGCTGGGCTGCTGTGGCTGGTAGCTAAGGTGCTGAGGTACCTGAGGCTGCTTGGGCAGATAGCTAGGGTGCTGAGGTAGGTACCTGGGTTGCTGAGGTACGTGCAGCTTTTGGGGTACCTGCAGCTGCTTGGGTGGGTAGCCAGGCTGCTGGGGCAGGTAGCCAGGATACTGCGGTACCTGTGGTCGATTAGGCTGATGGGGAACCTGGAGTGGGTAGCCAGGCTGCTGAGGTACCTGTGGTTGATTAGGCTGCTGAGTTACCTGTGGCAGATTAGGCTGCTGGGGAACCCGGGGCGGGTAGCCAGGCTGCTGAGGTACCTGTAGCTGATTAGGCTGCTGGGGTACGTGTGGCTTTTGGGGTACCTGCAGCTGCTTGGGTGGGTAGCTGGGCTGCTGGGGCAAGTAGCCAGGTTGCTTAGGTACCTGTGGTTGTTGGGAAGGGTGACTGGGCTGCTGGGGAACCTGGGGCAGATAGCCAGGCTGCTGAGGTACCTGTGGCCGATTAGGCTGCTGGGGAACCTGGGGTGGGTAGCCAGGCTGCTGAGGTAGCTGTGGTTGGGGAGGTACCTGTGGCCAATTAGGCTGTTGGGGCAAGTAGTCAGGTTGCTGGGGTACCTGTGGTTGGGGAAGCAGCTGGGGCTGTTTAGGCTGTTGGGGTTGCTGGGGTACCTGTAGTTGTGGAGGCTGCTGGGGAGGGTAACCGGGTTGCTGGGGAACCTGTGGTTGTTTAGGCTGCTCAGGCTGCTGGGCAGGGGAGCTGGGCTGCTGAGGTACCTGTGGAGATACTTGTGGCTGTTTAGGCCATTGGGGCTGCTGGGGAACCTGGGGCAGGTAGCCAGGCTGCTGGGGTACCTGTGACTGATTAGGCTGCTGAGGTACCTGCGGTTGTGGAGGCTGCTGGGGAGGGTAGCCAGGCTGCTGAGGTACCTGCGGTTGTTTAGGCTGCTGGGCTGGTGAGCTGGGCTGCTGGGGTACCTGTGGTTGTGGAAGCAGGTAACTGGGCTGCTGGGGTACCTGTGGTTGTGGAAGCAGCTGAGGCAGGTAACTGGGCTGCTGGGGTACCTGTGGTTGTGGAGGCAGCTGGGGCTGCTTAGGCTGCTGGGAAACCTGTGGCTGCTTAGGTTGTTGGGGCTGCTGGGGTACCTGTGGTTGCAGAGGCAGCTGGGGAAGGTAACCAGGCTGCTGGGGTACCTGTGGTTGTGGAGGTACCTGTGGCTGCTTAGGCTGTTGGGGCTGCTGGGGTACCTGTGGTTGCAGAGGCAGCTGGGGAAGGTAACCAGGCTGCTGGGGTACCTGTGGTTGTGGAGGTAGTGGCTGATGAGAATAACTTGATAAATATCTGATTCCTGGCACAGATTAGTCATTTGATTCCTGTGATTCAGCTTTAAACTGGTAACAGAATTATTTGTGTGCTGTAGCTACTTACCTCATTTGTATTCGAGCCTCCATGCTTCTCAACAGATCCAATGCTGTAAGCTGTTAAGCAAACATTTTAATCCATGCATACAACCACTTAATTAGTTTCACATCTTAGATAAAAACTCACCATTTGCTTGATGTCTTCCTACAGCTAGCAAGGTCAGCAGCAACCATCTGGAGAAAGAAGACATCCTAGTCACTATATGCTTTAATAAAGAGTTGAACACAAAACCAAACACAAAAAACCAAAAACCATACACTTACCTTAAGAGAAACCCCATGGCTTTGGCCACAGATATAGGCCAGTGAAGCAGCAAAATAACTTCTATCAGCTCCTACCAAACCACACAACTGAACCAGCCTAAAACAATAAGTCACTGAGGTCCCTCTGGAGCTCTTTATAAGATGTCCACTCTTACTTCCCTGTTTAACACAGGTGTGAGTAGTTGAAGACAGGTGTGGCCAATTATCTGACAGGACAGTTGCACTGCAAAAGGTTGGCACAAGTCTTTCAGATTTTTATTTGACCGTTGGAATCTAATGAGAAGTAAAAAGGTTGTTGTGAATAGTCAGATGAGCCCAACCCAGGAGATATTTGAATAAAGTAGGAAAGAGTACAAGTATCTGCTTCAGCTTCAACTGTGTGTTATTCCACCCACTTGACAGAACATGGTGGGTTTTTTGTTCAAGACTATTAACATAGCTTAAAGTATTTGGTTCAGTAACTATCCAGAAGATAGTAGAATAAACTCAGATGACCATCACTTAATTTACAGTAAAGTAATGCTTGATTGCTTGAGTGCAGGGAAATCGGACTATGTGCTTGACTAGATTTGTTTCATATTTTTCATTGTTAAAGATCACACACATGCATAATAAATACCACAGCCACAGTGTTGTTATCTGCTTTTTAAACCCTCATATTAAATTTCAAAATTCATAACATAACATAACATAACATAACATAACATAACATAACATAACATAACATAACATAATACATTATAAAATAGAATAAAATAAAATGAAATAATATAATATAATATAAGATCATATACTATACATTGTTTTTAATTATTATTATCTAAAGGACTACATTTCCCGTCAGCAACCACATTACGCAAGGCTTACTCCACTTCCTGGAACGAAATTTCAAAATAAGAATGTTTTCGCACGCTGGTCGTTTGCCAGCAGCGCTATGAAATCGACCGCAAACCTAAAACCCGTCTTTTATTTTGAAATCGGGGTCATTCATCCGTGTTTCGTCGATCCCTCGCGGAGCCACCGACCGCCCGGGACCTGTGGGAGGATAATCACGTATGAACGGTAGGATCCAGCAGGCAGGTACAAGTCCGCCGCGATGAGGCTCCGTTTGGCCGGAGCCGTGCTGCTGTCGGCGGCCGCCTACTACGTCTACCTGCCGCTACCGAGCGGCGTGAGCGAGCCGTGGAAGCTGATGCTGCTAGACGCGCTGTTCCGGAGCTTCATGCAGGCGGTGAGAGCCGAGTGATGCAGGAGACAGGAGAGCAGAGGTGGACAGGTTGATGCGAGGGAAGACAGAGAGAGCTGTCAGAGAAAGTTCTAGAAAAACAGCGTCTTTACAGCTGAAAGCAGCAGAGAGATGTAGCGGGAATATCCGTTTATTCATGAGATGGAGCCGAGGGTTAGAAAACAGAGGAGAGACAAAGGTGTGTTACAAATACCTGTCAGCATATTCTGTAAATAGTAGTAGTATGAAACCGTAGGTCACAGGCAATAACAGTAATGCTGTATCACAGTGTTAGAAGAGCATAACATGGAGCAGAGAGGGAAGTTATTCAATAGAAAACACAGTAGAATAAAACAGAAAAAATAGAGTAGCACATTTGAGAATATACAATGCTATACTACTCTATACTTTACTATTCCATACTATACTAAACTATACTTTACTATACTGTACTATACTACACTATACTTTACTATTCCATACTATACTAAACTATACTTTACTATACTATACTGTACTATACTACACTATACTTTACTATTCCATACTATACTAAACTATACTTTACTATACTATACTGTACTATACTACACTATACTTTACTATTCCATACTATACTATACTATACTTTACTATACTGTACTAAACTTTTCTTAACTCCACTGTACTACTCTGTACTATACTACACTATACCATACTATACTATACTATACTACATTATACTTAGCTGTTCTATAGCTAACTATATATAACTACTTTACTATATAACTACTACTTTATAATTACTTTACTCAACAATACTAATACTTATACTATACTAAACTATACTATAATTTACTCTACTACACTAAAGCTCACTATGTATACTTTACTGCACTGCACAATACTATAGCCTGTGATATTCTACTGTACTTTACTGTAATATACTGTATTATACCATAGCCCACTGTACTCTTCTTTACTTAACTAAATACTACACTAATACTACTACTACTACTACTATACTAAAGCCCACTTTTATAATTTATTGTGATAAAATCAGAGGATACTGATGGATGTAGTGAGGGGTCAGAGATATTACACAAGAGAATAGAACAGATTAAGAGATGAGAGTAGAGTGTAGTGAGAGAGATTCACATAGAACAGAATGACATAGATCTCAGGTGGTCAGAATAACAAGCAAATGACCTTTGACCCTGCTGCTGAACGCACTTTAACCTGCACCTGCACCGTCGGCCTTGTGCTGTTACGACAGAGCCGTATGTAACATGTTAGATTAAACTTAAGCTCCTCTTAAACTTTGCACCGGCAGTTCACACACACACACACACACACACACACACACACACACACACACCTAAATCTTATAATCTAATGCGCCAATGCAGAGCAACAAGTTTTCACACACACTCAATGTATAGGACAGGTTTTCCCGCCCTGCTGAGTCTCAGCCTACAGCTCTGGGCTTGTTTCTTCTCCACCTTGTTGTTTTTCAGTCATCACACTGACACTGACAGGGAGAGGCTTCAGGTGAGAGATCACCTCTAACTTTCAAACTGCGAAATATTAAGATAGTACAAGTTTGAGGGTGAAACATCCGTGCTCTTCACCTTAAGACATTTTCTATCAATAAAGTTTTGATTGAAACATCTTTCTTGACCTCGGAGTTAAATTCACCTGCTGCAGGAATCAGAACAGTGTCCGTTCAGCTCAGGTGATAATTGGCGTGTTTGTGTTTGTGTGTGTTTGTGTTTCCAGAGTGACGTGGCTCACGCGCTGGGCGTGTGCCATCGCGTCCACCTGTTGAACCAGGTGGTGTCCTGGGTGGAGGTGATCGAGGCTCGCTCCTGCCCCGCCGTGCTCGTGACCGACTCCGCGCTGGGCGGCGTGCCCACCAGGGTCTTCCAGCCAAAGGGCGGGAAGAAGCTGAAGAGAGGGGTCATATACTTCCACGGTGGAGGGTGGGCCCTCGGCAGCGGCCGTGAGTGCTGGTTTTTAAAACTCTGAAAAACTGAATCGTTGACTTTTCTGTTTTCTGCAGGAAAAATGTTCATCGGCTTCAGTCGAGTTTAGATGAATATATTTTACTGTGACACCCCAGGTCAGATTAAACCAACCTGACTCTTACATTTAAAAGTTCTGGGGTTGATAATAATAAGAACGTGAGTAAATATAAGAACAAAACCTTCATTGTTGTATGTGAAACGTCAGTATCACTCACACTGAGTTCACTTGCTTCACAGGAATGCGATCCTATGACCGTCTTTGCCGGAAGATGGCGGAGGATCTGGATGCTGTCGTGATGTCTGTAGAGTGAGTTCTGTCACATTAAAACAAACTCATTCATTTAGAGGAAGGAAAGTTCAGACCGAAGCTGCTGTTAGCCGACATTTCTCTGATTATCTCCAAGATTGAAGAGGCAGGAAGCAGAGAATGGATTCATTAATTACTTAAGTGATTAATTAATTATCAGAATTTTTGGTGATTAATTCTCACTAATGGGTGAATCAACTAAATGTCTCAGCGTTAGTGTCAGTGCTAACACATCACTGCTGCCAGGGCTGGGGCTTTTAAAGTATGATGCATGACAATATTGTCTTGTTGCTATAGTTACCGTCTGGCTCCGGAGGCGGTGTTCCCAGACCAGTACCACGATGCGCTGGCAGCATCCCGGGCCTTCCTGTCCGCTCAGGTTTTGGAGCGCTACAGCATCGATCCGGGGAGGGTGTGTGTGTCCGGGGACAGCGCCGGGGGGAACCTGGCCGCTGCCGTGGCTCAGGAGGTAAACGAAACAAACGCACATCTCACGATATGCAGATCTCATACAGCATCTTACACGAAGACAGATACGAGTCTTAACACACACACCTGAGGTCAGAACACACGTTTCTACACTTCCTTTATCAAAGTAACACACTGAATGATTCCAGTCTGTCTCAGTAAAACAAACAAACATCATTTGCCTTGATTCAATTGCGCCTTCGTGGCAGCAGAGAACCGGAAACACTTTGCAGCATGTGTTGTCAAACTGATGAAGATGTTTTCTGAATTTGCAGCGTGTTTGCATGTGTTTGAGCCCTCAGGGCCACCGTACACATCAGCTGATTTGTGCCTCCCTCCTGTATCCGCAGCTGAGCTCTGACGACAGTCTGAGCGCGAGGTTCAAGGCCCAGGCGTTGATCTACCCGGTGCTGCAGGCCCTCGACTTCTACACCCCGTCCTACCAGCAGAACCAGGCCGTGCCCATCCTCTACCGGCCCGTCATGGCTCGTTTCTGGCTGCAGTACCTGGGCGCCGACGCCTCCCTGGAGCCCCTCCTGCTCGCCAACAACCACAGCTCCCTGGACCAGCCGGCCATCGGCGCCGACACCCGCTCCAGACTGGACTGGACCTCTTTGCTCTCAGGTGAGCGCAAGAAACACTTCCGGCCGGTTCTTAAAGAGACGGGATCGCCAGGGGTGGTGGGCGAGGTGCCGGCGCTGGTGGATGTGAGGGCGGCGCCGCTGCTGGCGGAGCAAGGGGTTCTGGGTAAGACGCCGAAAGCGTACGTGATGACGTGTGAGTTCGACGTGCTGAGGGACGACGGGCTCATGTATGCGAAGCGCCTGCAGGACGCCGGCGTCACGGTGACCAGTGATCACTACGACGACGGGTTTCACGGCTGCATGGTGTTCGCGTTCCTGCCGATGATGTCCAGCGTTGGACAGAGGAGCATGAACAACTTCATCCACTGGCTGGACCAGAACCTGTAGACTGTCAGGCTGCTCCAGATCCGTCTGAACCCGGATCTGTGGACCAGGATCTGTAGAGTCTGGTTGTGACGCCAAAGAGGTTCTGGGAGCGGGAGAGTTTTCTGGTTCCTTTGAGCTCCTTGTTGCATCTGCAGACAAGGAGAGAGGGAGACACATCTTTGGTTATCACAAATATAAGAGATTCAAATATCAGACACGTAACTCAGAAGATCACGTGTCCTGAGGAAGACACCAGACCTGACGTCAGCTGCAAGATTTAAAAACACGGAAAACAAAAACCAAAACCACTAGGGGGCAAATCGTCCTCCTCCTTGAGAACGTCTGATTCAGCAGAATGTAAAACAAGGCGGTCACCATCGTTGTTTCGCTACTGAGTCTGTCGCTGAAAATCACCGCAAACCGTTAAATTGACCAAAATGAAAACGGTCGTCACTGAACCTTAAAACCAAAACGTTTTCCGATCAAATCCAACCAAAGACGTTGACGCTTTTTCACGCCAATGCAACAAGTTTAGAATTCCTCAAAGTCTGAAAACATAATTTATGCACAGTAGGATTTCTTACCACGTAGCTAGCTCTATACAAATGACGGATTTTGAATCAGACAAATTTCACTGGAGACGGAGGGATCCAGTTACTAGAAGTTAATGGCATCAAATCCGAATCAAGATCTTAGTGGCCACAGTACAATTAATGTTCGTATGTGGTTGTTTTTTTAATTTAGTTATTTATTCTGATTATAATAAACTTGTGAAATGTGTATTTACAATATCGATAATTCAAAAATCTGTGTGAAAATATAATTGAATCAGAGCTCAATACTATATAATTTAACCATGTATTGTTTAATAATATATAATTAACAGCCTATTTACATTTTCTCCCCAGTTATTTTCTGTAATCGTTGCTCTTCTCTGAGCAGGACAACAACAACCGACAACTTTTAGATCTGGGGAAATAAATTCAGGTTCAAAATAATAATAATCAGTGTTTTAAAAAATAAAAAAATCTATCTGTAAAAAAAAAAAAAGCGGGAAATGATAACGTACTACCTACAAGCTCCGAATCGTCCAGCTTTTATTCCTTCATGATGCACTGAGACACTGAAAGAGTCTGCTCACACACACAGAACAGGCCAGTCAACGTTACAGAGAGAGTGTGTGTGTGTGTGTGTGTGTGTGTGTCTGTGGTTAAAGTATGCCAGAGTTCGCAGCTGTGTACACTCACTGGATTGTGCAATAATGTATGTTTGAAAGCATCCCTCACTCTGTAACTTCGCTCTCTTGATGACCACTGTAGTGCAGGGCCAATGCAATGACGAAGACGAAGACAACTATGATGATGATGATGATGATGATGATGATGATGATGATGATGATGATGATAGCTGTGAAATTTATGCGTGAATTACTGTATCGCCACGAGAGACGGGACATCCCTAATGGACTCTCATGTTTCCCCCCCACCCCACCCACGCACTCCCACCAATGAAAATCTGGCCCCAGAACTGGTGTAATGAGCCGACGACAGCGAGCGTCAGACACAGACCGGAGGTTTCTTGGCTCCGGGCCTGAGCCGCAGCAGAAACACTGAGCGGAGTGAGGTCGTCACGTTATTCACAAAGAAATGTTGAAACTGAAACGCTGGCCGTCATGAGGCCGCGATTTTCTTCCCCATCTCTCGGAGGGAAATTACTCCGGACAGCTTGTTCCTAACGTGTGGATTCTCTCTGAGCAATGCAGATTCCATGTGCAACACGTTTTTCGCACACTTTCTAGAGAGAGAGAGAGAGAAAAAAAAGAAAAAGCGAGCCATGTTTCATCTGCATGTTCTAAAATAAGTTGTTTTTAAATCTGAATGATGGATTGAATGTTTCTAAGCGCTGTAATTTTAATGCTTTATATGGAATTATGCATTAAATCGTTTTATATGGTATAAATAAGGTTTTAATATAAGTAGGGTGAAGGTTGAGGATTGTTGCAGCCAAGCAAAGACACCAAACGGGCCCCAGATGTCCTACACTGCTAATGAACCCTATAAAGTAGCTGTTTTATTGGCTGCTGTGACAAATCTAGTGGTATGTGGGGAGCAGGATCGCAATATTTCTTGTACTGTATGTGTATTATCATGTGTTTTTTTTTTTTTTTGCAAAGGGGGGATTTTTCTGTCTGCACATGTATTTCTATTTGAAAGCCGTGACATTCCTGGACAGTGTTTTTGCTGTGATTAGGAGGAGCGAGGCGGCTGCAGGCGATCTGCCGCTGCACCTGCAGAGCGCTGGTGACCGTGTCGGAGGTCGACAGTTTTTCACGTTAGATTTGACACGAGAACAAAAAGGCAAGACAGTTTATTTGGTCACAATAATCTAAATTAAACATGGAAAAGTTGTAGTTTATCTGACTAAAATACTGCTACAGCGTGAATATACACCCACAAAACATGTCTGAATGTTTCAGGAAGAAGAAACATTAAATCTAAAATCTAATGTATTAGTTTTATATTATGTTAACTATGTAATCGTGTTATTTCAACCCTCACTATTTAGCATTCATGAGCAGTATACAAATGTTTAATAAATGCTCTATAACACAATATAATGTAGCTGTGATGAGACTGTAAGTGTTTATTAATGCGCAGTATTTGTCTGCAATTATAACTTCTATAAAATATATTTGTTTTATCTGTTTGTATCAGCAGCCACTCGTGTGTGCTCGCAGGAGGAGTTATAGTTGTTGACAAATACATTAATAAACCCTTATAATTACATTATAACGTGTTATAAGAGTTCACATACTGCTTGTGTGAGTGATTTTCTCAGTTTTATGTCACTGTAAACTGAATATCTTTAGTAATTTTACACTATTTCCTCACATTTTATAGAAGAAATCTTAATAATCAGACGACTAATCGATAATGGAAATAACAAGCTCACCACACGGTCCATTTAGTTGCTGTTTTGGAGCTTTTGATCGCATCACATGCTCTTCATCAGCAGATAGAGTTGTTAAGAGTTTCCATTTCTTCTCCTCCATGTTGCTGCAGCTGTAATTACACGTGAAACATCATTTCACATGTGAGAAATTCACATGATGTTGACACAAGGGAAAACACATCACAGTGAACACGTGTAAACAGCATTTGACATGTGAGATATAATATTTATGTGTGAAAACATGATGTCACATGAGCTCGTGTGTGTTTGGTAACTCATTTTCATTGTTGCCAGATGCCAGTGTAATTAATGAAGCTGAAATGCTCTGTAACAACTGATAAATCACCTGTTTGTTATGTTGTTTTGTTTCCATGTTACTTCCCTTCCTTCAGTGTTTTTATGTGACATATGACCTGAGAATCAAGAGAGTTCAGTCAGTTCACGGTTGGGCCTCCCAAATGACACCAGATGTGGTTGTTTGGTGATTTGTGATGCAGCTGAATCACTGACTCATAATCACAGCAATTAAATTCCCATCTGTTATAATTAATAATCGAAACCTGTGATTGAAGAGGGTTTAAAGGGGAAAGTGAAATTTTTAAAGAAGTTCAGCTACTGTATCTGCACACCATGTAAAATAAAATGTCAAAATTCACAATTTACAACTTTGTCATTTATTTATGAAAAAAAACAAGTTTAACCTAGTAAACTGTTTAGCTATATTAATAATGACAGGCATAGAAAAGTGTGTTTGATTTAAATGTTTTTATTTAATGAGTTGTATTTTTCAAATTTGTAATTCCTATAAAAGTGCTGATTTATTTTTCAAATATAGATTATGATGTTACTATGTATCAATATTAGATATTAAAACATAGTATTTGTTGTTCATTTCAATTATAGTTTATGAAGTGATTAGTTATAATTATTAGTTATCATGGATATATCTTTTATTTTAAAAATTTGATTTAATATTTTAACTTATTTTCTCTTTAATTTAATTCTGGTTATTAGTTACTATAATACTGTATAATATTAAAATAAAAATTCTATTAAAATGCTTATTTGTTATAAAAAATATTGTTTTATTATGAAATTATGTTACTATTTATAACTATTAATTATGAATATAAAAATATAGTATTTCTTTAAAAAGCTAAATGATTAGTTCTTCAGTTATTATAGTTATTTCAGTTATTAGTCACCATGGATATTTAAAATATAGTAATACATTTAAATAGACGCAAAGTTATTGTTTAAAGGTGTTAGCAATTATTTTTGATTTTGATTTTTTTGATTAAAAGTCTCACACAGAAGATGGCGCCAAATCCTCCCCGTGAACATCAGCCTCCAATCATTAAATCAGCTGCTATAAATATGTGTAGATATTATTTATCACATGAATCATGTGTTTTTTATTCCTCCTCTTCTTGTTTTCATCTCAAAATTTTATGAACGTCATAAAATTTAACAGTTTCTCTTTGATGGATTTACACTTGAGTACTTTTTTAATCCCTGGATTCAAAAGTTTGAGCCTTGGCTTGTGATTTATTCCTCTGATCTGAGGTCCTGCAATATTGGAGAATAATAAAAACATATCCAGAGCGACACATCTGCCAGACTCTCTCCATCTGTCATCCTGGTGAGAAACTGTTTTTCCTCTTTCTCACTCCACCTCTGACTGTATGTCAACCAAACCTCTGGCTTTGGTTCTGTCTTTTCCTGGGTTCTTCTTCTTCTTCTCTCTCTCTCTCTCACACACACACACACACACACACACACACACACACACACACACACAGATATCGTGATGTGTTCTTCAAGTCAAAGCCTGCAAGGAAACAGAAACCAAACCCATCAGATGGTTGCGTGACAGAATGTAACATGCCTGTCAGATCATGTGATCAGAGATGGTAGAGAAGAGGTGAGCGGGAACATGCTTCTCCTGACAGACAGGTCTCTCTACACATCTCTTTGTGTGTGTGTGTGTGTGTGTGTGCGTGCGTGCGTGCGTGTGTGTGTGTATGTATTTGCGTGCCATTAGCAGCCAAACCTGCATCATCAAGCCTGCATCTGGAGCGCCACAGGGCATGCTCAGTGTTTCTCTGCACACACCTAACACACTTGATTGGTGTGCGATTGCCCATCAGGACTTGATTACCCAAATCTGTGTGTGTGTGTGTGTGTGTGTGTGTGTGTGTGTGGGTGGTTGAACAACAGTCAGCCTGTAACCCAACAGTCAACTGCCAAACAGCCCGCACGTGTGAGTGCAAGTTCTGTATGGATCTTCACTCAGCCATTGTTTTTCCAGAACCACTTGATCCCCTTTAGAGTCACAACAGAACAGGGAGCTTATTCCACTTATCCCAGCATGCAATGTGTTCACAGATCAGAGGCCGGATCCTTCAGTGAGAGCAATTCAAAATACAATGAGTCATAACAGGTCAACACGTCCTGTCAGATCTCATACGGGTCTCAGAAACACAGATCGGGAAAAGCTGGTTTATCTTTGCAGCCGTCCTTATCCCATAATCCACTACGCCACTGACTTCTACAAGGGTGCGTTCAGGGGGATCCGGTTTAACTCAGAGGCTGTGACCCAACGTGTTGAATATGTTATGTGGTCACAGCGGAGATGGCGGCAGCGTGCAGTTTATAAACGCCTCGTTTTGTGTGTTGTCGTCCAACAATGACGATGAGACAGCAGCAGACAAATCTAAGGAAATAATAAAATATAACTGTATATGTATCTATAACAGCTGATTCATGATAATAATTAATGATAATGTGATTTAATTGATGAATTGTGGAAATTATCTGTTAGTAGCCAACTTAAAAAGTTTTGGGGTTTTCTGTCCGTCTCATTCTCGTGGACCAGTATCTCAGTAACTTCTTCAAATTTGGCACAAACATTCACTAGGACCCAAGGATGAACTGGTTAGATTTTAGTGGCGAAAGGTCAAAGGTGAAGCTCACGTGACCTCACAAAATGCGGTCTTGGCCTTGTAAACGCAATATCTCAGCAACGTCTTGAAGGAGTTTCTTAAAATTTGGTAAAAAAACATTCACCTGGACTCAAAGATGAA